AGGACATATTTTCCTAAGAAAAATAATTCAGAAACACATAATGTTTCTAACTTAGGTACATGAATAGTTTAACAAGGTTATTTGAGCATTTAAGGACTCGCAAAATCAGGTAGCCCCAGAAAGCCAATAGTTCAGTATTCTACTAAGCAGGCAGGAGGCAGAAACTTTTATAAGGTGTTTGCAAAAGCAAAACAAAGAAAAATTGTGATGGGCTATCTTTTTTTTTTTTTTAGAGAGAGATTTTTACTATAGGGTGCATGTGTTCACTGGAGAGACAGAGAGAGACAGAGAGACAGAAAGTGAGAAACCACCCCCCAGGAGGGATGGTCACACCACAATCCTTTTTCCTCCATTCTTCTCTTGGGATCTTGGGCACACATGCACATGTGCCCAGCGTGAGTTTTAAGCCACTGGGTTCGGTCCTTGAACCACAATCAACTACATGAGAGTCCAGTGACTTAACCATTACACTATCTGCTGGTCCCAATGGGCTAAAATTCTTAATTAGAAACCTCTAAAGCTTAGGGTCTTCCTTTCCCAGCCCTGCTCATCAAGACCTTGAGCATGCTTGTTTCCAGGCTGACCCAGGATCGAAAGCTGTGGTTGGTCATGTGGCTTTTAGCACTGCAGTCCAGTTCATCAACCTACTGCCACCAGGCTGGGCTGGTTTCTGTATTTATAACAAACACTTAGATAATATATTATTGGTCCACTAGTCTTCCTTGGAATAGCAAAAGCCTAGGGAATATTTGGAAGAGCCTGAGTCAAGCCATCTAAACAGGTTAATGGAGAATTTTTCATAGGCTTAATGTCTTATTCCTGAGTTTATTATATAACCGACTCTGCTGCAGTCAGATATACACAATTCCAGGCTAGGATTTTTGCATTCAAGTAACTCATCCTCTATAAAATTACAGCTGTCAATCCCTTGTCACATTACTCACACAACTCTTTAAAATCATCTCTGTATCATTTGCACATTGCATTCATTTTTGGTATGGGGAGTTTTGGCCCTCTGTGATCTCTATCACCACCTTCTGCCGTTCCTCTCTTATTTTGTTTGGATAGTTTGTTTCTCAAACTCAAGCACAGTTTTAAGCCCCTCCTTCCAACACTATTGGGTGTCAAAGTTCATCTTATATAGAAATTCTGGTGTAGTCAGTCAGCATATTTCTCTGCTAGGTAGAATTCCTGAGGGACCTGGCCATGTGCATCTCCTCCAGATTGCTTGAAGACTTCTGTAGTTATTATTTTAACCGTTGGTATCCATCTACTGTCAAACGGATCTGTGCTCTTCCTTCACAGTCACTGGCCTTTTTGTATATCTTGGTTTTATTTTCTACACAGTATTTATTGTGAAAAAATAGCAGTATTTGTATTTTTTTTTTTTTTAAGCCATGGAATTCTTTTTTTTTTTTTTCCTATTTTTGGAGAGGTTTTCGCTACAGGGCGCGTGCGCTCGCCAGAAAGAGAGATAGAAAGCAAGAAATCACCCACCGGGGGGATGGCCACGCCACAATCCCTTCTCCTCCATTCTACTCTCAGGATCTTGGGCACGCAGGGGGATGGCCACGCCACAATCCCTTCTCCTCCATTCTACTCTCAGGATCTTGGGCACGCATGCACACGCGCCCAGCGTGAGTTTAAGCCACCGGATCTGGGACTTGAACCACGGTCGACAACATGGGAGTCCAGCAACATAGCCATTATGCTAACTGCTGGTCCCTGGAATTTGTTCAAAGAAAACTTAAGTAAAATAGATTATGGTATGGCTGATACGGCTGCAACAATGGGAGATGAAATTAGAGAGGTAGCTAGCAATATACCTTTTAAGTTAAGGTGTTTAGGCATTATTGTTAAAGCTATGGGGAGTGAGTGAAAGATTTCAAGTAAGAAAAAACATGATCAGATTTGTACATTTGGATTATTAATCTAGCAAGGTTGACTTGAAGATGGAATCACAAAGACTAGGAAGGAAGAAATGAGGAATATAAAGAATTTTGAGAACTTACTGCCTGGGTATGGAGGCAAGGAAAGAGAGTAATATGTTTTCCAAATTGCATACTTGGATAATTATTGATGCAGGGACTCAAGGTTTGCCAATTATTGAATTGGGGAAGATAGGAGGTGGAATAAGTTTAGGAGAAAGTGGCTGGGCTCAGTTTTGAACACACTAAGTGTAAGGGAGACAACAGTGATCATTCGAGTAAATGGATGTGGATATCAGCAAAATCTGGCGCAAAGATCCCTCTTGTATCCAGAACTAAGTTATTTACAGAGTATTCTCAGCCTCTGCTTAGGAAACTGTTCAGGGAAACACTTAGTAATCTTTTTCAAGTAAATTGTCTGAGTAGTCTTGCTTTTTTCCAGTATGTTCAAAACATAGGTTGCCTACTATACTTGTTAATTCAGTACTCACTTATCTCCTCTTTTTCCATGTACTCTTTGCATACTCAAGTTTGGGATCTCTTTTTTTTTTTTTTGGAGAGATTTTCACTGTAAGGCGCGTGCGCTCGCCAGACAGACAGAGACAGACATAGAGACAGAACGCGAGAAATCACCCCCCAGGGGGGATGGTCACGCCGCAATCCCTTCTCCTCCATTCTCCTCTCGGGATCTTGGGCACGCACGCACACGCGCCCGACATGAGTTTTAAGCCACCGGGTCCGGGACACGAACCGCGGTCGACTATGTGGGAGTCCAGCGACATAGCCATTACGCTAACTGCTGGTTCCCTCAAGTTTGGGATCTTATTTAGGGTTCTCTATATTGGCCACATGCTTAAATGGGCTAGAGAAATAGGACGAGTTAGTCATTTATTTATTTTTCCTGTTCCATTTGGCAGAAAGTTTCACTTCTATTTAGAATCTGATATAAGGAAATACAGCCTGCAGCTATGAGGAAACAGGAATTCATAGAAAATCATGGGTTTAGTCTGCAGAAAATGGGTCGGACTGGGTTGGTTTACATGGTAAGAAGAGAGGCACTATGTATAGTACATTGGATATTTTGGGGTTGGAAAAGTCATGTTTTTTTTTTTAAAGAATTATATAATTTAATTTAATTAATTAATTTTTAAAATTTTGACCAGGGGAGGGGGGAGGGAGAAAGCAAGCTGCTAGATCCAGGACTCAAACTGCTGTCTGCCATATGGGAGTCCAGTGCCTTAACCACCATGCCTCCTGTTGGCCCCCATGATATACTTTTCTATGCAAATATGTGGCATGATTTTTCTGAAGACCTAAGAGTATGTTTTGTTTAGAAGCATACTATTGTTTATGTTTATAGTATACTAAGCAAAGTTTGTTTACATTTTAATGTAGTTCTTGTTTAAATTATTATGATTAATTATTATTATTTAATTTAACCAGAAAGAGACAGAGAGAGAAAAAGGAAAGGAAAATAAGAAAGCAAGCTGCCAGGTCCAGGACTCAAACCCCAGTCAGCCATAGTGGGAGTCCAGCACCTTAACTACCACACCACCTGTGAGCCCCTAATGTGGTAGTTTTTAAACTTGGGTTTTGAAGTCCTGAGGAGCCATTTGGAAGGAGGGAAGGTTGCTGAGTAGTTGAGACTTTAGGCACATTACCAGTATTTCAGTCAGAACACTCTAATTTGGTTTATATAAGCTTTCATTGAAGGAAGGATCCAAGGTCTTAAAGTGTGAAAACCACTCTTTTATGTAATAGAAGCTATAAGATATATGAAGAGGTCATTGAAGTAAGGCTTCAGTAAGAATTAAGGAAAGATAGAAAGCTATTTAATAACTGATAACTATAGAAGGCCCTTGTTTGTACTAACACAACAGGACACACTCCTAGTTCACTTTACTGCTTTTATTCTCACCTTAGCTCCTTAAAGGCAATGCATGATACTTCATTTATAACGTTCAGCACAATTACAGTTTAATAAATCACTGCTGAATTAATATATTACTAGTGATGACTTTAATTTTTTTCACTTTACACGTGTGCATGCCCAAAGTCCTCATAGGAGTGAGATGGAAGAGAAGAGATTGCTGTGTGACTATTCTCCATGGGGAGTATTTCCTTGCTTTCTCTCTCTAGCTCTCACTATATCCCTCTTCTGCCAGTGAATGTGCTAACAGATTTATAAACAAACAAAAAACTACAAGACTTCTCAAAGCAGTGCACGTGGAATTCCTTACAAGTAGTTAGGCACTGTACATCCCACTCAGAGTACAGTTTTAAAGGAGGCCAGAAAAAAAAAATAATGCCCATGATTAAGGGAGAGGGAAGATTGGCAATATGTACTATTTTGAGTTTTTGTGTGTATGTGTATGCGAAGTGAAGCAAGAGGGTGATAAAGTGCTTCTCAGGGAAGAGAGTAAGTCTCCATTGAGGTGGTGACTTACTCAAATGAGGTTATGTATATAATTTACAGCTAGTGCATTACAATGTGCCATTGAATAGATGTGTGAGAGCCAGGGGAGAAAGGACACAAAGTGATTCGTATTTTTTGGCAAATGAAACAATAACCCTTACATTGAACGGCATAACTGAATTTTCATATAAAAGTGGCTCCCAGACAAAATGTTCAACGGCCATAATATAACAGCGAGGGGATGTCTTCTCTCATGCTCTCAATGTGGCTACCTACACTCTACTCTGTTGTTAGTAAATCTTTGCCAGTTATCAGATAAAATAACTTAAAACGCATCGGAAAAAAAAAAAAATCAAACCAAACCAAAACCCTGCCTTGAAATGTAAAGACGAGTCTGGGGCTGCGGTTGAGCCCCTTTCTGGGTCGCAGCAGAAACTCGACTCCCCGACCTCTCCAGGGGGTTCCGACGGTGCCGAGGTCACAGTGGGCGAACAGAAGACCCCGGGCCGGCAAGTATCTAGGAGACAGAACGGGAAGGGCACCAGCAGCTCTTCGGGAGGGCGGGCTTCCCCAGGGACCTTGCCAAGCAGGAAGGGGAGAGAGGTTGGAGAACCGCCCCTGAAGCAGGGGACCCGAGAGCCCCTCACACCACCTGGCCCACTACCCGGAAGCAAATACGGGCTGCGCGGCGCGGCCGTGTTGAGGTTCCGGGTCGGGCCGCGCGGCAGCCTGCGCTCCGGTTGCCGCTGCGGCGCCCCGCCCCCGCTCTCTGGATCTGGGCAGGTGGCGGCCGCAGGGCCGCTCTTGGGGCCACATGGCTGAGGGGGACGCTGCGAGCGACCAGAGGCAGGGGAGGCCCCGGCGGGGCGCTGACCCTAGTGGTTCTGCTCGGCCTCGCCGTCCCGGGCCTCCTTCGCCGAGGGGCCTTCCGTCAGGGCCGCTTCGGGTCCCGCCTACACCGCCCGGGCTGCCCTGCAGCGCCGTTTGCCCCACCGCGTTCCACTTTCCCGGCTCGTCCCCTCCACCGAGCGCTCTCCAGCCTGCCGCTCCTCGGCCGTGCGGGCCCGGCCTTCCTCAGATGGTGTCCTCGTCAACCATTAGCACGCGACTGAGCAGCTCTGGGCCCGAGGCAGAACCCTAGTCCTGCTCCCCGCCCTGTCGCCGCCGGGTCACACTGGACAAACCTTCCAAGAACTCTGGTTTCTGCCTTGTAGAACGGGCAGTGACACAGACTGTGGACTTGACTAAGAGCCCATATCTTTCTCCTCCTGGCTGGGTGCTTTCCTGTGTGCGTGGCTCACATGAGCGTTCCTAAGGCTTCTATGCAAGGCCTAGGAGATCACAACCAGATGCTGCGAAGTTGGATGCATACTTTGTGTTCCGTTTTTCACCTTTAGGCCTAGTTACTTTTCTTTATAAGATTCTGAACCAAGAGAAGAATTTGTGAAATGTTTTGAGGGCTTAATTACCAAGAAAGCAACCCCAAATAAAACCCCCAGTTTCCTAGCCCTGTGCCGAAATCCAGGAAGAAAATTGAAAAAGAAAACTGACATGAGTGTGAATCTAGGCATAGCGTGGCAACGCTGGTGGAGGCAGGAAGTGTCTGTTGAAAAAAAAAAAGATAGGGAACTGAGATGATATATTCATCTTTTCGCTTGTGAATTTCCCTATAGAGTATGAGAGTACATATATATTTTGTTCAATAGTGACCAAAAGCACAGTAGTAACAGCAGCAGGGCTGGTTCCCAGATAGGACAGTCACCAGCTGCTCTAAGAATGTTTGACTTGCTCAGGTTCATCCAGGCCAGCTATGTTGAATGCACATACTTTACAATGTAGTAAGAACAGACTTTTAGGGCATGTATATTTGTTGACTTTTTTTTTTTTTTTTATCAACTTCTTTCAGAATGAGGAAATTGAAGCAATGGCAGCCATTTATGGCGAGGAATGGTGTGTCATTGATGACTGTGCCAAAATATTTTGTATTAGAATTAGCGACGATATAGATGATCCCAAATGGACACTTTGTTTACAGGTATTTACCCCCCTTTTCTATGGCCATTTTCCAGTTATGATATTGACTACATGATTGACCAAAATTGTATTTTAATGACTTGTGTGTTATTTTCTGAATTTCTTTGTTGCCTTTTGCCATAGTTGATTATCTAAATTACAGGTAGTTAAATCTCAGATAACTGAAAGTATGTGTAATTGATAGTTTGTGTTCCTTATCTCAATCTCTTTTATTTATTTAAAATGTTAATATACCATTGACAGACTTGAGTTTTATTCCTTTCATTATCCAGTCCATCTGATAGAAGATCTAAACCTGGAAAGATGGCTAACGTTTAAGACAAATAGTAAGTTAGTAATGTAGATGACTCCTTTATTAGTTGGTAATCAGTTGTAGTTAGTATAAAATAAATGGAAAGACCAACTGTGGCTTTTTGTTATAGTGCTTCTGATTTGATGACTATATTATGGCCATAAAGGATGATAAAGTGAATTTTTGTGAGGATTTTTTCTTTTTTTAAGGTTTTTGCTTTAGAGTCCGGGTGGGCGCCAGACAGTGTGAGGGAAAGAAAGAAATCACCCTTTCTCCATTCTCCTGCTGGGATTTTGGGCACACATGCATGAGTGCCCAGATCAATATTCAAGCTGTAGATCCAAGATTCAAACCATGGTCGGTCATGTGGGAGTGCAGTGCCATAAGCACTATGCTATGTGCTGGTCCAGGATTTTTAAAATAGTAATACTGATTTGAAAAATGTGAATGTTTATTACATGTTACCTATTTTATATGTTTAATTGTACTTTATAGTTTTTTTAGTATGTCTTTAGAAAAATTTCTGGAAAATGTTATAATACCACTGTATCCACCTGTTGGGGTTTGGAGAATAATGCCTTTTCCTTTCATCTGTGTACTCATCCTTAGTTGTTCTAAGTATCACTGCTTTTATACTTGGCCTGCAAATATTGGTTCCTTCAAATTGGCAACATCACTAACGTATTCAGTTATAGAAACATGAATATGAAGAGGGGATTCCCTTCTAATATTTGGCAAAACAGTAGTTTATTTTAGCGTGGTAAGTTAGAGATTTGTCAGTGACTAACTTTTTAAATATAATGTAGTTATTTTTGTTCCACGATAAAGTGTGAATGGATTTCTTTTTGGACTGCATTGTAGGTGATGCTGCCAAATGAATACCCAGGCACAGCTCCACCTATTTATCAGTTGAAGTAAGCAATATTTCTGTATTTAATATTTTTTATAAAAATATTATACTTTGGAAGATATTTAGGTATGCCATACATGTTTTTATGTCTTATTAAATGTATTATTAAAATGTATATAGAAATTAAAAACACCTTTTTGATTTGGCTTAGAGAATTCATATAAAAAAACTTTGAAATATAGCACTTAGTATAAAAGAAAATCACAGGGCTCATGGGATATAATAGCTATAGAATGATCTTCAGAGAAGGGGAAGGGAAACTTCCTCTTTAATCAACCTAGTGATCTAGAAACCCTGGTCCCTGTTTCTCCTGGTTCTGCTGACCTGGCCACACATCCTTGATGTACCTCCACCTAAGACTGACTGCTTTCCAGGATTTACCCATAACGTTTCTCTCTGTTCCCTTACCCCCTTGTAGTGGAGGACTGTCTTCTTACAAGACCTTAATTTTTTTTTTTTTTTTCCAGAGGCTTTTGACTTAGGGCACATGCACTTGGAGGGGAGGACAGAGATAGTGAGAGGGAAAATGAGAAATCATCCCCCAGGGAGGATGGCCATGCCTTAATCCTTTCTCCTCCTGGGATCTTGAGCATGCATACACTTACCCAGCATTGAGTTCCAAGCCACTGGGCCCAGGATTAGAACCATGTTTGGCCTTGTGGGAGTCCAGTGACATAACCACTGCACCATCTGCTGCCCCCACGACATTAATTTTTTTGAGTCGTGACCTGCTGATGCAAATGACCTTTAATCTACCTTGTCCTTTTGACCTAGTAATATGTATAAACCAATGGGAACAAAATTGTATAAAAATCTCAAGTGCTGAAATTGTTGCCTAGTAGTTGGGATTATTTTTTGTGCCTTTTAAACCATAGCAATAAGGATTACTATTAATCATAGTGATATAATTTTAGTTTTTATTTATTGCAAATTATTATTTATAAATATTCTTTTCAGAAAATGTTATTTTTCTGTTTTATAATCATGTGGAAGCTACCTTGTTTATTAGAATTGCTTTTGAGACTCCAGTTAGACACGAATCAGGAACTCCTGGCATTATAGCAATTGCTATGAATCTAAAAATTTACATTGTAGAACCTGTTCTGCCACTTATGTAAACTTGGGCATGTTTATGATACCATATAAAAACAGTTCTTTTTTGAACTATTAGAATTGAGTAATAGTGACATTGGTTTCGTCATGGTTTCTTGGGAGGATTAAATAAGTTGTTGACAATAAAAATATTTTAGAATTGTGTAGACTTATATAAATATTAGATATCTTAATGAAAATAATTTTTTAAAAGTTAAATAAAACCAATTCATGGTTTAATTTCTGAGACATAAACGTAGCCATTAAATAACTTTCTCTATTGTGTTTTATTTAATCTTAGTGCACCTTGGCTGAAAGAGCAAGAACGTGCAGATTTATCAAACAGCCTTGAGGAAATATATATGTAAGTAATAGGTGATTTAAAAAAAATTCTATTAGTGATTCTGTTGTGGACTTGTGTTGAAACTGTGATATATTAGAACCTTTTCTAAACTTTTTCTTAAGCTATCTTTCCATTAACAAAAAGTATTCACTTTGAAGAGACTTGAAAAAAGTTATATAATTTCATATATATATTTGATAGGACATCAGATAAAAAAATGCAGTTTATATTTAGAGCTAATGTTTGTAATAACATTTAGCTGGCTTATGAAAGTAAATTCACAGATATTGTTCTTTTGGTATTTTTATAGACTGTAAAATGAGATAGATAATAGAATACTAAAGCATAATTATTTATTAAACTTATAAGTACTTTGTATAGTAATTTCTCTTGTATTGGGCTATCAGACTAAGAGTCTACTGATACATTGTATTCTTCATTCATTCCTTCATTCTACAAATATTACACTACAGGTATTGTACTAGATCCTGGATGTAATGGTTAGTAAAAGCAGAAATCATTCTTTTTTTCCACAGCATTTAGAATATGGTGGGAGGGGAGTTATAACATCAAAACAATTACAGCATCATTAAAAAATGAATGTAAAACTGCAGCTGTGATAAATTCTGTAGAAGAAGGATATACAATACTGAGTTTGAAATTAGACCTGTGTTAGTTTAGGAGGTCAGAGAAGGTTTGTGTGATTTGAAAGCTGAGTTACTAGGAAAAGATAATTCCAGTTACAGGCCACGGCATATACAAAGACCTGCGTCAGGGAGCTAGGAATATTTTGGGAAACAATAATGCTCAATATGAAGTGAGAAGGGCAGGGAACGTGGCAAGAAAATTACCTGGAGAAGTAGGCAGGGGAGTTTTGTAGACTCTATTAAGGATTTTTGAATTTATCCTAAGAACAGTTGAAACAGAAAGGTTTTATGTAGTGCTATGGTAAGATCTTTATTTTGAAGAGGTCATCTTGTTGGAGCTGTTGGAAGGTGGCAAGAATAGATGTGGAACAGAAGATATGACTGATTTGGATTAATTTTAATGAGATATATTAAGTTAGCAAAATAATATTCTGGAATATTAGCTTTTTTCTAATCTGGGAGCTAGTAAGGATTACATTATATGTTCTAGGTGGCCACTCCATTTGCTACAGTGAGAGTACCCCCTTTGCATCCCCGGGATCAAGGCAAGGTTTCTTTTCCTCCCAAAATATTTAATTAGACAATGGTAAGTTGTGTAATGCATTCTACTCATTTTTGGAGAAAGTGGTCTTCCTTCCTCACCAGGTAGTGGTTTGACATCCTCAGCAAATAAATATATATTTCCTTAACTAAATGTTTTCTAACATTTCCTTAACTAAATGTCTCTAACCTTGCTCGCTACTTCAATTTTGGGCCCCCAACAGACTTCTTTCTATAATCCTTTCTTTATTCTTATTTGCCAATCTCTCTCACTCTTTAAAGTAGAATAAGAAAAACATACTGCAAATTTGTTTACTGTTGATGTTTTAATTGTATTATGTGATGGTCATTTTTCAGCTCTCATCTTACTTACCTCTATAACTTTTAATGGTATTGACCACTTCCTCTTTCTTGAAGATCTTTCCACACTTGACTTCTGTCTTGTTCATCACATTTAATAGTTAGACTTTTCCTTTTATGCAGTGTCACACACTCTGAAATGGCTTCCTACCTGCCTTTTCTTTATCTTAGTCGTCTTCCCTTTTACTGGGAAGTATCTTGTCATCCCCAATTACTGTAATCAGTTGAACTATTTGAGATTTAGGAAGGGTCAGGAATTACCAAGCACCTTGTTCAGTTCCATTTTCTTGTACTTATTAAAACAGTTTGAATAACCCTAGTCTAGTGATATTCTCATACATTTTTTAAATAGAAATACACATTCTGTATTTGAGTTTTTGGGCAACTTTTAAATTATATTTTTCATAAGATTCCAACAGGGGGCAACAAATGAAAAATATGGGATTTCAAAAAATAATTATATAAAGACAGGAATATAGTTCTTTCTTAAAAAATTCTTTTTATTTATTTTTATTTTTTGGAGAGGTTTTTGCTATAGGGTACGCAAGCTTGCCAGACAGACAGAGAGAGAGACAGAGAAACAGAAAGCTAGAAATCACCCCCTCCCTCAGGGGGATGGCCACATCACAATCCCTTCTCCTCCATTCTCCTCTCGGGATTTTGGGCATGCACGTACGTGTGCCTGGCATGAGTTTAAGCCACCGGGTCCAGAACTTGAACCGCGGTCAACTACATAGGAGTCTAGCGACATAGCCATTACACTAACTGCTGGTCCCTTCTTATTTTTATAAACACTCCATCACTGTGTATCATTTGACTTGTAAAGATAATTTTTCCAACATGAAATATACCTCAGACCAATCTGAATGAGAATACTATGCACATTATCATCAGCAGGCAATAAACCATTTTTGTGTCCCACAAATGAAGAATATAGTTCTGAATATTTATACTTTTCTTATGATTATAAATTCTCTGACAGTATTGAGGTTTGTATATTTAGCATAATTTTTAATGCCAAATTTGATTTTTGCCTGGATAAGAAGATGAACTATCATTAGTTTCTACTTATGTAGGAAGGTAAGAGATCAGAAAACTATCAATTTTTCCATTAAACATAATTTTTTAAAAGTTCATTTATTTTTATTTATGATAAAGAGCACTTACATACAGACTAGGGAGGGAGGGAGAGAGAGAAGCACCCTCATCAGGGTCTTGTCATGCCACAATCTCCTCCCCCCAGCCATCCCACTCCAGGATTCTGAGCATGCTTACCTGCCCAGCATGCTTTCAGGCCAACTTAGGAGCCTTAACTCATGGTAAGCCCTATGGCTTTCAGCACTGCAATTCAGTTTGCTATCAACTGTACCACGCGTGAGGCTGAGTAAATATTTAATGAGCATATCCTGTATGTTGGTGCTCTGTTAGTTGTTTGGGACTTAAAAATTAATATCAATGTGTACCAGTACAGTATAGTGAAATAGTTAGTGATCAGTTTAGATCAATTGCTGTAGTAGCACTTCTTAAAGTATTAGCAGCAAACTCTCTCTATGAATGCTAGTGAAGTTAGGCTCATACCCTACTGCAGAGACTGGAAGATAGGGGTGCTATTTTCTTTGATAATTATGTTTCAGAGGGGTGGCTTCCAGTTCCCTTGAGAAAGTCCTTCCAGGTTCTTGAGAAAGCACTAACAAGATACTTCTGTAAAAAGATTTATGTATATTTCAAAGGGGCTTGCAAAGAATTTACAGTAAGTTTTCTAAAGAAAATGCTCTAAGGTCTAAGAGTTAGGAAGAATCCTGTCTAAAAGTTTAGCAAACTGAGTTTAAGGTGGTTTTTGTCAGACTTTTGGAGTCAGTTTTTAAAATAGTACAACCATGAACCAGCAGGTGGCATGGTGTTTAAGGTGCTGGACTCCCACATGGCTGACAGCTGTTCAAGTCCTGGACCTGGCAGCTGGCTTTCTTATTCGCCCTCTGTGTCTCTGATCAAATTGAATAATAATTAATTAATTAATTATATGGCTGGCAGGTGGCATTGTGGTTAAGGATGCTAGACTCCCACTGACTGACCACAGTTTGAGTCCCAGACCTGACAGTTTGCTTGCTTTCTCACTTTCTCTCTCTCTT